AAAATCACATCTTATGAGCTTTACTTATCAGTTATTCTTGCAAAAACTCTAGAAAATAAATTTTCCAAACTTCATTACTATGATTTTAAAAGCCCATCTCAGAAAAAGCTTAAATTTTTAAGGAGTGCTTATTCAGACATGATCTGAAAAGTCCTGAAATGTGTGCTAAACAACCATGAAAAAAAAAAAAAACCACAACAGCTAAAAAACAGAAAAAGGAGCAGGATGCCAAAAAAAATTTCAAATGAAATTAAATAAAAACCAAAAATAATTTCTCCCACCCTTGTATTTGTATTTGGATTAGTTAAAAAAGAAACTCCAATGAGCTTAACTGCTGAATGAATTACTGTTATAACTGATATGCAGCCTAAATCATATTGGGTTACTTTGGGATCATGTTTTTCCTAGCATTATAAACATGGATCTCTTTTAATGTAGATATTGGGCAGACGACTGAGACTGTGAAATCTAAGTATCACTTTTTGTGATATTTTAATTCTTTACACACATTCCTTTCCCTATTTCTCCCATTCCCAATTAACAGATCCTAAATATCTGAAACTAGTTGCTGCAACAACATAGTACACGATCAATTCTGTAAAAGGACTGAATACAAATTAACTTAGTTTGCTAAAATGAGGCATCCTCTACTGTTTCATGTAATGTACCCTGACTGCTCCTGAGTAAAAAAGGAGCTCGTCCTCCATGAGATAAGGCTACATCCTCACTTGTTGGTGAGACCAAATTCTACCCTTAGAAAATCCTAAATGAAATCACACCAAAGGTAGTGTTCAAAGTAATTAACTGAAGCATTTCTGAAGGTAGTGTGTGCACATTTTCCACCTCCTTCCCCTCTGGGTGAGCACTAAATAGATTGCTAATTTATTAAGTAAATTTAATAATGAGAAGAAAATTACAAAATGTAATTGTAAATGACCCAAATTATTATTTAGCACTGAATAACCAAATTTCTTAACTTCAAAGGCTCATTGTTCTTCTTAGTTTTTCTTTAGTTTAATCCTTCAATTAGTTGAATTGTAGAAGAAAAATGTGAATAATTTTTAAAGATGGCTTTCCAATTTGCAATAATAAAGCTCCCAGTATGACAGAGGTGGTTTCTAAAAGGGGGCTTTTTTCTTCTTCTTTTTTAAAAAATAAAAGCAAACATAACTTAAGGAAAAAAGAAAAAAGAAAAGAAAAGCATGCAGGATCTACAGGCAAGGAGTCCACTTCCATGTATCTGTTCTCTGTGAGGTAACTCAATTCTCTTTTGTAGAGAAACATGCAAAAGGCCAAACAATATTCCGAGCCATACTACACATGGAAATTTTAAAATATGCAACATTCAGAATGCACCATTCACCTCTGTACACACAAGTTAATGCAAAATCTGCAAAGAAACAAGTGTCACAGTAAATGAAGTTAGGTGCAAGCATGACAGCTGAACAATGATGCAGTAGTGCTCACCCAGTTTGTACAGTAATTGGCACTCTACAGTATTCCTACTCGTTTTTTGATTCATTTGCACTTTGTGCTGCCTCTCCCTGGGGATCTAATTCAATCTTTACAGAAACATCTGGCCCCTCCGACCTCATTAATTTCATCTTTTTCTTTGGAGGGTTTTTCAAAGTGCCCAGCCTCTCTTTTACTTTGTACTCCAGTGTACTGTGGGGAATCCCATAAATACTCTGAGCTTTGGAAACACTCATTTTTCCACTCATAACCACTGAGATCGCTTCCTCCAGTATCTCACTGTTGTACTGTCTGTAACGCCCTCTTTTCTTCCGAGGCTGCTTGGAGCCAGGGTCTCCTTCTTGATCCGATGTGGGATATGGCTGTCCAGAGGTAGACTGCTCAGCATCTGAGCCCCAAGAATCAGGTCCAGCATCTAACATGCTTTTTCTATTTTGTTTTGGAAGAATAGCCCTTAATTTTTTACTAAGCGCGCTCTCCGTTTGTGAACCCATTACCAAAGAGCTATAGCTGTACTGATCACCAGTGCGAGATTCCCAAGAAAGATCCATTCCTCGAACTTGTGGTATCTTTAAGTCTACAGGAGATGAATGGCTCACATCCTTTTTTCCATCTTGTTTTGCTTGTAGTGCCATTTTTGGAAAGGCAGAGTTTTCTGCAAGAAAAGGAAGGTCACTGATGTTGCTGAGGGCACCATTTCCCCTGAACTTCATGCGGCTGAGGTTGAACTCATAATGTGGTTTTGCCCAAGAGGCTTCCCTGGATAATATTAAGTGTTGTCCATGATTCTGTAATCCAGATGGCCCAAGGCTGGCAGCTGTGGACAATTGGTTTCTGCTCAGTAGTTCTTCACTAATCTGCAGGGATCGAGCCAGTGGAACTTTGAGTGATGTGGAGTGTCCAAAACCTTCCCTGGTTCCATCCTGTAAGCTTCTTGGAGGTACCCCATCACCACTCCGAAGTCCGTCTGGGCGGTACTGGCTGGGTCTCCCAGGTCGCCTAATTGGATGGAAGGAAACTGATGTGAGCAGGACTTGCACAGGTAGGGAGGGATGGGTGAGGGGACCACTCCTTTATTAGAAGGCCTTGCTTGGGTAACATCACTTTGTGTTATTTATTTATTTTTCTCTAAAAATTAAAAACAAAAATGGTCTCAGCAGTTAGTTTTAAAACTTGTTCACAAAAAGAAAAAAAAGGAAAAAAAAAAGAAAAAGGAAAAAAAAACCCAGGAGCTTTTTGGGCAAAGAAAAATTAAACCTGTTGGCTGGTCTCTGGTTGGGTTCACAAATTTTCGGAGAAAAAGTTTCGCGCAACTGTTTGAAAATAGCACTTTAATTATTAATTACAAAGTAATCATCAGTCTCCATAGATCTACACAGAATTGTGTTACCAATGTGACGTTACCACTAAACAAGTACAGCAATAAAAGAGTAAGTCAAATTATTTATTTTAATGCAAGGTATTCAACATTCATTACAACTAGCTATAAAACAAGCCATTTACATTGCTGGAACCCATAGATAATTGCTCATTTATTCCCACAAACAAGGTGATGCTCAAAAATAAACAATTCCAAATAACATTTCTTATATATATTATATATATATATATATAAATGGCTACCAGCTCCCCGTGTGAGAGAAAAAAACAGAAAGACACACTGTATTGTAACTTACCACAAATCTTCATTTTAAAGAAACTAATAGTTGCAGATACATTGAGTACTGTAATTCTCCATTTGAAATAATTCAAGCTTAAAAAAATTACCCTTTATTTTCCCCCCAAATTTTGTTCCTTAAGTTCCTTAAGTACATAAACAATTTTGTAGCAGTTTTCTTCAACTAAAAAACCTTTCTTCTTGAAATACCAAACCCCTCTTGACATTTCAAGTGGACAGCTTTCAAATAACGTTTAAAAAGTCAACAACCTACACAAAGTTAATACATAGAGGTTTCAATTTCATAATAGGGAAAGAGTGACAAAGCATGCCCAAGGTGGAATGACTACATTAATTAGGTGAAAAAGTGGGACTTTTGCAGACATGTTAAATAAGCTATGTTCTTCAAAACTCCTCAGGGACGGCCGTTATCAGTAAGTAACACAATAAGGAAAACATTGACTATTCAACTAAAATATGGGAGTGTACTGTTGGTGTTGCATTTGTCTTTCATAAAACAAACCCAAGTCTTTCCATTCAGAGTGGATAAACAGAGCAATAATAACACAATGTGTGGACTTGGTAGCCAAGTTCAAGGTGAATCTTAAGCGAGGGATTTATTTATGCAGCCTGCACTTGGGCTTCTTCTGACTGTGTCCTTCATTACAACTCAAATGTAATTTGATACATAAACGGAACCAAAGATTTGGGGCCATTTTGACCTATATTTGTATAGACCACAGTGAAAAACAGGGCTTAATAAGAAAAAAAGATTAGTGAACTACGCAAAATGGATTAAATTATTTTTAGACTGAATAAAGGAGAAGAGAAAAAAGAATAGGATGGAATTTTAGAGAAAGACGGTATATTAGAAGTCAGTGAAGAAATTCTTCAGTTTGAAGGTAATTAAATTGGAAATGACTAATCATTCATAAAGATCTTGATTTTCTTAAGAGAGAAAGACTATCAATATTAAGAGTGGTGACGGGAAAAGCATTTAGTGTCCATCTAGTCCTTTAAAATACAATTAACTTGCTTTATGGTTATAGTGTAAAAGTTAAATATACCTACACATTACCTGATTTCAACCTATAAAACTTGTTTTTCATATTTAGATAGAGTTGGTCACAACACAATTTTATGGAAATGCCCTCTCAATATGGTATCTAAATATTTTAATTAATATTTGACCCTTCTAAATATTTACTAGATACACATAGAGATAGGTAATTCTTAAACTATAAAAATTAGGTGGCCAGAGAATTCACTGTAGTCTGGTAAGAGTCATCAAAACTGCACATGTAGTAATGTTCAGATGGTCATCCATCAACATCTACAACCAGTGCTGCACTAAAAAACAAAGAAGTGTATTTCCTGAACTGCCACACAGAATTAAAATTGCAGTTCAAATCAACAACCAAAAGCAAAAATAACCAAAACAAACAAAAATGAGCACATATATACACAAATTCCACCAGGCATATCAAGTTAAATAAACATTGGAACCCGATTTTCATTCAACAACTTCAGCACACATAATACTGTCTTTATTTCTAAACTTTGGAATTACTTAGCTTGGGTTTCACATTCCCAAACACCCAACAACAAAAAATCCAAGGACATAACTCTTTCTGTAATCATGATTATTTACTGACACACTAAACTGACAAGACTGATCTATATTAGGCAATTCTAGATTGCACATATTATATTTTTACTTGATCAACTAATTAAGTCATTTTACAAAAGGCTCACCTGTAAGACTATTACTCTGAATGGTTGATTTTTAAAGTGTATAAAGGAGACTGGCATCAATCTTTGGAGAATCACCTACATAAAATCATGAAAGTCTACAAGTACTTTCCCTTACCCGTTCCCTTGAGTAGTGGAGCAGCCTGGAGAATGGCTCAGGGAAGTGCTGCCAGCACATGGACTTTTTTTAGTGGACAGATCAAGTACGCCGTCTGTAGAGACACAAAGAAACACCTAAAGATATTAAAACTAGGAGCAAATGTGCACTGAATAGGTAAAAAATGGAAAATGAACAGGCCTAAACAGATACATCAATGATTTATTTCAGTTATTCAATTCAATAACAGGATACTTTTGCTCCTGAAGCAACATAAATTTAGCAAGCATGTTGTATCTAATATCTTCAAGGAGCACATATTTTAGTAATAAAGCTGAAGGAAAGGTAAAACATTACAAAAGATACAAAGATAGTGAAGTATTTGAAAGAACAGTTTACATGGCATGAAGTTCTAAGAATTATCAGAATTTTAATGCCTCACAATATCATACAAATTAGAAAAGCAAATTTCTCAAGAGTTAAATCTACCTGAAACTCTGAAAGCACATGAAATATGTATGTAAAAATTTTAAATAAGATAAAAATTATCTTTAAATGTTTATAAGATTAAATTACAAGCATAAACAAAATAGTAAGATGAATAGATTGTTAATGATTAATAATTGGAGTGTGTCCTAATTATTCTTTGGACAGAAGTGCAAAAAAATGTGTTTTCAGATTAAATCTTTCAGAAAAACTCTGCATATTTATAACATAATTGCTGAAATTTACAAAGGCAAGGTTTTTCAATTAAGAAAACATTAAAACTTGTAGGGCAAAATTTAAAGAAAGAAAAGAAGAATGAAACAATCTTGGCATTAATGATAGCCTGGGAGCATAACCTGAAACCTAGCCCACATCACAAATTAACATTATTATAGAATTAAAAAACTTTCTTTTCCCTCAAAGATATTTTCCCCCCTTACAGGCATACCTAGAAAACAAATGTTATAATTCGCCAACTTATAAAGTTGCCACTCTGTCCAGCATTAACAGAGCAAGATACTAAATGATGTTTCTGATTGTCAGTTGACCAGCAGAAAGGTCTTGTTATCTAGTTATGATAAAAATCACCTCAGGGTAGAATCTACTTGTGTCCGAGGGCACTCTAACTCTCTATTTCAGACTGTTAGAACCAAATATCCTATAAGACATCTAAAAAGCAAATGCACTGCTTAAAATATTTCCAACCAAAGACTTCTAAATCAACTAGGCAATCAATCTGTCTAGCCACATAAGCAACATATTTTGCCTCTGTCTAAAAATACTGTGATGTAAATTGGTAACACTGAAAATCATTAATATAATTTTAAAAATTTTGTCTCATGCATGCTATTGTGTAGTTCAAATTTTTTTGATAAAAGCATGCTGTCAGCATAACATATCTTATAATAACACTATGTATAAGGAGTTAAATTAGACTAAATGATATCATTGTTTTGTTAACCTCCTTATTAACATTTTTACACCTCTATGCTGCCATTCTAATATAAACCTAAAACTTTTGATGCAATATTTAGAGCAAAGAGATTTTTAATGAAAATTACCAATATGTGGTAAAGAATACAATTCTCAATAAAATGGAAAAGACATAGCTCTGCAAATATGGTAGCCAAAGGCACACTGACTAATGTGAACATGGGACACTAGCAGGCCTTCCATCAGGAATCTCTCAGAACTTAGAAATCATGTTTTCTTTTTCACCACCAGACACAGGGAAAAAGCAAAGGAAAACTACTCAAAGAACACATTCTTAGTAAGAAACTACAGTCACTCCATTAAACATAAAACCTTTATAAATAACTCTGAATAAGCAAAAGATGATCCTTTCAAGAAGTTATTTTAAAATTAATGTACTTTCAAAACAAATATGTACTTATTTCCAATAAATCCACACGTCTTATAACTTTTTTGCCTACTTTGAGATTTCTATGACCATAAACATCTCATTAGCATAGATGCTACTAGTTTCTAATTTGTAGTGATTCAAACAAAGACTGAGCTGAAATGCTCACTTCATCTATGTGAAATTAAAGGTAAAAGGAGTTCACATAGCAACATGAATGTTTAATCTATTTAAGATAAAAAAAACTATGAGAGACTGAAGAAATATTTGCTAAACAAAACAATCTATTCACTTAATGTGGGTCCTCACCAAAAAAATCCCTTTTTTGGAAATATTTTAAGCCTAGTTCTTAATACAGTGCATGTGTATATGTATGTGTTTCTGTATTTATAAAAAACTAAAATCTCTTTTTATACTGAAAGTATTAAACACTTCTGAAATATTTTATTTCTAAGCCTAGACGTTTCTTTTTTAAAATTGTAAATCTGTATTTTTTCCTTTGCAGAGTATAACTTCTATCTGACAGGTGAAGGAGTGTTTCTCAGGTAGGTGTTAATACTGGAACACTGGAGGGTAAGGGGGAAAACTTTTTTAAAGTAGTTTTTAGAAAATGGGCATGACGATATTTTGGAGAGTGCAAAATGCTTCTATCAATACCAAAAAACTTAAGAATGAGGAACAACTATAACCACCTGACTTTCCTGGTTGGTATATCCATCATGACTATCAAGTGCTGACGGGTAAGATTTTATCAACTAGATCTGTACTTCTCCATCACTGAAGAGTCAGGAATAATTTAAGAATCACATTTTTAAAAATTCTGTTATTGCTGCTGGTGCCCTATTTGTCGATATTTTTTTCTCCCCAAATTAAAGCTTTCTGATTGGATAGAGGAGACCTTGATATTAAACCATACCTTGTTCGCTAGGTTCTGACTGAGACTTTCTGACAGTAAGGTCCAGAGGTGAGTCTTGGTCAGCCATGAGAAGTTTGCTGAGCACAGGGTTCTGAGTAGTTGCAGCCGTGGGAGAGGTGGTGACTGGAGATGCTTTCGGCAGGCTTTGGTTCTTTGTGCTATTGGGCTGGCTGGGGTCCTGAGTAGAGCTATTTTTTGAGGTATATTCAGCAGCAAATTGTTGGATCATTCGCTGCATGATCTCACGGGCCACTAGGGGAATATTGGGGTCGGAGACCCAGGGACTGTCTGTAAACAAAGATTTATTTACTTTTAAAGTGGGACAATGTACTAAAAAAAATACAGCTTTCAAGCAAACATAAAATTTCATTTTATTTTTTCAAATACAATATCCTGAAAATAGTATTCACCCTCTTACTTATATTTTAATATCTAAGATTTTGAGTTGCAGATTTTTAGAAATAAAATTTTCATGAAAAATATTTCTCAACATTTCCCCCAACCCCCCAGGATTATGAAACTTAAAAAAGGGATAACAAAAGTAGATCTTATGGGCAAGAATCACTTACCTGATACAGAAATCTCAAAACCCTTATCTTAGGAAATAATTACTCCCCTGTCAACACCTATTAATTCCACAGATTGCCCTAGATTTTCCCATAGCTGTAGCCTCCCAAGTTTTTGAAGTTGGGGTTACTGAGTCTGTTAGTGCTTAATTTCCTTCCTGTTCAAGATCTGAAGGCATGACAAGATTATGGAAAAAGATATTTAATTTAAAGACATATGACAGGGGCTGGCGCTGTGGCATAGTGGGTAAAGCCACCGCCTGCAGTGCCAGCATCCAGTATAGGCACCGGTTCGAGTCCCAACTGTTCTACTTCCGATCCAGCTCTCTGCTACGGCCTGGGAAAGCAGTAGAAGATGGCCCAAGTTTTTGGGCCCTTGCTCCCATGAGGGAGACCCGGAGGAAGCTCCTGGCTTCGGATCAGCGCAGCTCTGGCCACTGCGGCAAATTGGAGAATGAACCAGCGGATGGAAGACTCCTCTCTCTCTCTCTGCCTCTCGTTCTCTGTCTGTGTAACTCTGACTTTTACATAAATAACTAAAATAAATCTTTAAAAAAAAAGATACATGACAGACTACAGTAATAGTTTTCATACCTTAATGTTCATCAAAACTGCTTTCTGGGCTTGTAAAAACAGAGTGAGTCTTAGCCCCAGAATTTCTGATTCAGTAATGCTGGGGTGGGCTCAAAAACCAGCATTTCTGGCCGGCGCCACAGCTCACTTGGCTAATCCTCTGCCTGTGCACCAGCATCCCACATGGGCACCGGGTTCTAGTCTCGGCTGCTCCTCTTCCAGTCCAGCTCTCTTCTGTGGCCCGGGAGGGCAGTGGAGGATGGCCCAAGTGCTTGAGCCCCTGCACTCGCATGGGAGACCAGGAGGAAGCACCTGGCTCCTGGCTTCACATCGGCGCAGTGCGCCGGCCGTAGCAGCCATTTGGGGGGTGGACCAACGGAAAAGGAAGACCTTTCTAACTCTGCCTGTCAAAAAAAAAAAAAAACAAAAAACAAAAAACAAAAAAAAGAACAGCATTTCTAACAAGTTCCTAGATGCTGCTGGTCTAGGGACCACAATTTGAGAAGCCCTGGGCTAGGAATTTATTTGCTAAATTTCAAAATCCTAGGAAAGACCACATATTTTCCCTGAGTTCTTTAAGTATACCCTACCTACTATTAACACAATTGCTAGGGAAGTAATGAAATAACCTCTAAGTTATCCATTTCTAATCAGTGTTAAGTTTTAAATAAAGAGCATACAAACTCATTAATTCACAAAACTTTGAGAAAAGACCTTGAAGGTCAAATGGGGTAAGAAGAAAGTGGAAATTATTTACATAAATATCATATGGCTGTTCTTCCATAGCCTTGGCAACTCATGACAAGAGCCTAGGGAGATTACTGATGCCATAAACAAGAGTGTCAATTTGTTAAGTCAACAATAGGAGTCACTGTGCACTTACTCCTCACTTAGGATCTCTGTCCTTAATGTGTTGTTCAACGTGTGAATTAATGCTATAACTAGTACTCAAACAGTATTTTACTCTTTATGTTCTGTGTGGGTGCAAACGGATGAAATCTTTACTTAATATATACTAAACTGATCTTCTGTATATAAAGATAATTGAAAATGAATTTTGATGTGAATGGAATGGAGAGGGATCGGGAGTTGGGAGGGGTGCAGGTGGGAGGGAAGTTATGGGGGGGAAAAAGCCATTGTAATCCATAAGCTGTGCTTTGGAAATTTATATTTGCTAAATAAAAGTTAAAAATAAAATAAAATAAATATCATATGGCTGTAATCACCACACTGTAAAATCTATCCAGGAGACTGTGCTTCTTGAAAGCAGAAATTTTGCTTAACTCTGTATATCTATCTTGATTGGTACAAAGTGTATTCACTTTAAGGTGAGAAATTAATGGGTTACTCAAATCAATCACCATCAAATAAATACTTTTTATTTGTTTTAAACAAATGACAAATGTGATCTAAAGTAAATGACCTCTACAAATCTGTACAGGTGGTTAGTGACAGATAATTGATTAAAATGCTTCCCCTATTTTAATGTTCTACCTGTAACTTTTACTCTTCCCACCACATTCCTGAGGCCATTAGAAGATGGTTCTCAGAAAACCTGTTGCCTTGATCTTTTAAGGATTAGCTATTGAAAGCAAATTAACTTCACCCACAGTATTTTGAACTTGGAAGGAACTTAGGAGACTGACTTACAAAGTTAAAGAAGGACCGACCCTTATTACTACTAAAATCTAAAACAGATTATCACACCCTCACAGGACTCTTAAAATTAACAAGTCATTTTTTACCTAAATAACAATATTCAACACCAGAGGATGCTTATGAAGTCACAGTATTTGTTTTATCCTCTGGAATTTAAAGAGACTTGCTGTACCAATAATGTTCTGTCCTATTAAGATGCATTTATCACCCTATTTTCCTTTCTACAAATAGAGACTATGAGAATTCTACAGTTTAATAATAAAAGTATTGATTATGGGGGCCGGCGCCGTGGCTCACTCGGTTAATCCTCCACCTGCAGCACCAGCATCCCATATGGGTGCCGGGTTCTAGTCCTGGTTGCTCCTCTTCCAGTCCAGCTCTCTGCTGTGGCCCGGGAGGGCAGTGGAGGATGGCCCAAGTGCTTGGGCCCTGCACTGGCATGGGGGGCCAGGAAGAAGCACCTGGCTTCGGATCAGCACAGTGCGCCGGCTGTAGTGGCCATTTGGGGGGGTGAATGGAATGGAGAGGGATCGGGAGTTGGGAGGGGTGCAGGTGGGAGGGAAGTTATGGGGGGGAAAAAGCCATTGTAATCCATAAGCTGTGCTTTGGAAATTTATATTTGCTAAATAAAAGTTAAAAATAAAATAAAATAAATATCATATGTCTCTCTCTCTAACACTATCTGTCCAAAAAAAAAAAAAGGTACTGATTACGTAAGGTTCTGAGGTTCCTATAATCACTGATACCTCAAATGTTCAAATAAAACACTTTAGTCATGTATTGCTTTTTAAATATCTCTATCCACTATATTTTCCTATTAGCAGTCATTTAACTTTCTAGTTAAGACCCGTTTTTAGGGGCTGGGCATTGTGGTACAGTGGGTTAAACTGCCCTTTGCTACAATGGGATCCTACATTGGAGGGCCGGTTGGAGTCCTGGCTGCTCCACATCCAATCCGACTTCTTGCTAATGTTCCCAAGAAGGCTACAGATGAGGGTTTGAGTACTTGGGCCCCTGCTACCCATGTGGGAGACTCAGAATTCCTGGCTCCGACCTGGCTGTTGTGTCCATTTGGGGATTGCTGAAGCAGATGGAAGGTCTCTACTGCTCTTGTTCTCTCTTTCTCTCTGTCATTCAAATAAATAAAATACATAATCTTTTCTAAAAACAAAAGCCACTTAACCCTATGTAGCAACCTCCATATGAACTACTGTATAAAATTTCAAATTTTAATGTAGTGATGTACCATTTTCCCCTTAAAAAGTTGAATAATATGTACTATAGAGGAGCTTTCAAACTGGAAGCAAAATGAAGTAATTTATGAAATGCTACTGTGTTTAACCAGTATTAATATATTTAAAGATATTATATATTAATATATAATATATAATATATAAATTAATATATAATATATAATATATACAATAATATATAATATATATAATAATATAATATATATTATATATTAAAGAGCTCTGTGGAGGGTCAAAGATTTAGGATAAAGATCCTAAAGCTATCTATATTATATAATAATATAATATATATTATATATTAAAGAGCTCTGTGGAGGGTCAAAGATTTAGGATAAAGATACTAAATGAAGGACATCTCTGCCATCTGAATTTCTACATCTTTTCAAAGTTTCTTGAACACACTTAATCCTCTGACTTATTTAAAAATACAGTATCCATGCTTAGGGAAACACAACTGAGTCAAATCAAAATAAAACATGTCAATGTCGTATCACAGCCACTTGGGTACTTTTTTTGGTGCAAATCTAACTTTTAGAGAAAGTCTGATTTTTTTTTTGGCACATGATGAAGCAGGTTGAAAACGAATGTGATGATGACAGCTGTGGAAGATACACTGTTCTTAAGATGGATTTTATTTGGAGTCCATATCACAAAGGCCTACTTCTATTGCATTTTGATTATACTTAGCTACTTTAATCTCTGCATTCCTATTTAAAAAAAATTTGCAACTCTTGAGGAAAAAGGTCTAAACCCAAACATCTAAATGTTGAATGTTCTTAACCTCAAAATCTGAAATCCAAATTGCTCTGAATATCCAGAATCTGATCTGACTGCTGACTTAGGGTTCACAAATTCAGGACTTCAGATGTTTGGATTAGGGATGCTCAACTGGTAAAAATCTATAAAAACATTAAAAAACCTGAAAAACTCCCAAGCATTTTAGGTAACATTCAACTTGTATTCATAAAAACTATTTTCCTCAGACTAAACTGCCTTTCATATCCCTGAATATTGAACACTTTTTGGTATTAATTTTTAAGAGTATTAATGCTTGAGATATTTCCAAGAGAATGAATAAAAATATATAAAATACCAAAACATAAAGCAAGGAAGAGAGAACTTCCAAGTCCAAAGCAGTTTTTTGAGCATCATATGCCAGTATACAAAGAACTGTATAAACTCTAGAGACAATTTCAGAAGACTCAGCTCTTGAAATCCACCCTGAGACCAATCTCAAGAATTTCCCTCCTGGGACCAGTGTTGTGGCACATCAGGTTAAGCAGCCACCAGCTATGATGGTATCCCACACAAGTGCCTATATAAGTCCCTGAAGTTGTGGCTGCTCCACTTCTGATCCAGTTCCCTGCCAATGCACCTGAGAAAGCAGCAGAGGACGGCACCATATGAGAAACTTGGATGGAGTTCCAGGCTTTGTTTTTGGGTTGGCCCAGCAGCTGCGTCAATTGGGGAGTGAAAGACCTGTCACTCTACCTTATTAAAAAAAAATCCTTCCCTAAAGATTATATCCCCCGAAGTCTGTTTCTAAACAAAAAAATTTATAAGAACTAACGTTTTTCCTCTTTTCCTCTGCAACAAAGGGATGGGACCAACAGAGAAGGAAGATGGAATTTCTCTGTAGGAATCTGCTGACCTTATTTAGTGATTTACCAGGATTTTTCCTCCACAAATTTCATGCAGCTCTTTAAACTCTGAGGTCTTAATGTTAATGACTGATTGATTAAGGGTGGAGTTTATCTACTAGTGGCGTCTGAGAGGTGGGTACAATGGGAGGTCTTTCAGACACTGGTGGTATGCCCTGGGTCTGTGTGGACACAGGAATGTCTCACATGAGGTTGGAGTATTTCAGTTCAAGTTTGGCTTAGGTGCTCTCTCTCCCTTCCTGGCTCACCATGTGAACACGACTGCTGCACCTGCCATAACCAGGTTCCATCAGACGTCAGACTCATGGGCCACCCTATCCTATAACCTCCAACTGTAGGCTGAGATAAACCTTTTCTTTCCCAAAGATGTACCTCAAGTATTTTTATTAAAGTAACAAAAACAAACTAATACATGGATGAAAAGTTGTTCCTCCATGGAAATTATGGAGAGAAGTTCCTCTCTTCAGGTAAAGAAGGCTGTTGTAACAACACACTACACCAATGACCCTGAATATATTCTAAAGGGGAGGAGCTGTAAAGACAGCTTATTTGGTTAAATTCATAGAAGTGATCTATCACTTGCTTATACCTTAAAGGTAAATTATTTTAATAAAACAAATTTATAAAATTAAGAAAATGACTATCTTGAAGGTAATTTTGGAATTCAAAGTATTTTATGGAAATGATAAGGTGACTGGGGGACTCAGTTGGAAAATTTAAGTCTGAGGGTGCTAGCGGGCATTAAGAGAGAAATAGGGGTGTACTAAGATTTAATTTTGCCTAGGAATCTATGGAAGAAATGCAAAGAAAAAAGTTCTTAATTTGATGTGACACTTCACCTCATATCATCATCTGAAAATACTGATCACATCAGGTAGAAGCCCAGAGGTTATCAATCAGAACTGGCAGTTTTAACTACTGCACAGTCAAAATACATCCTTCAAACTTCAGAAGAAGAGGGGAATTTCCAGAGGAATGAGAGGTGTAAACTAGGACATACAAAGAAATATTAAAGGAACTGGAATCACTAAGTCTCCTGAATACTAAATAAGAATATTCAAAATTATCAGGAGTTTGTAAAAAAAATGACAAAACTTTTAAGAATCTGCTACAGTAACCTGCATTTTGAAATAAGAGGAAAAGTGTAATTAAGAAATATAGATCCATCTAGAAAGATTTTTGTGAAACTAAAGTTCTTCACCAAAATGATCAGGGAAGGAAGTTTCCTGGTGGCAATTATTTGTGGACAGAGAAACCTGAATGTCTGCATGAAGAATTTCTAAACCTCAAGACTGTATGAATAGAGAACTTTTATGTATTTTTAAAGAAATGCAAAAAAAGCCTACTACAAAAGTTTCAAGGGGAAATGTAAATTGAAAAAATGCCAAGTGAAGCATCTCACATATAGGAGAAAGCTAAAATGAATTTATTTCACTAATAGTAATCTTTTAAAAACTTTAGTGAGAAAAACACTCTATTAGGGAAGAGAAAGTTTATCAATCTATTTTTAAGATATACTTAACTACATTTTCTGTCCAATTAAATTTCACAATTACTAAAATTTTATAGAGTTTTACAGTTCTCAGTAATTAAAACTGTTTATATAAGAAAACTTGTCTAAGAAATATAGAACTACTGAGTCCTTACAATTTTCAGATTTTTATTGTCTGAAGTACTTAAAACTCACCATCACTTCAGGGCCTTTACCCTTTTGCAAATTTAACTTACCAAAGGAAAAGAGAAAAATATAAAGCATATCATCAATTAAAAAATATTTTTTAGAGTATCATTTGAAATGACATTGAATCTCAGAAGGATTAATGCAAGATAGATGATAAATACCATTCTTCACTGACACCAACCTTTTCTATAAAAGACTGCATTGAGGAACTCTTCTGCTTGTCTCTCGAATCGAAGGATTTTTGCTTGCTCTTGTTTAAGCAGAGCTTCTTGATCAGCTCCCGAAACTGGTTCATCCAGACCGACTAAGTGTCCCTGCAAAAACATTTGGTGAAAATCTTTCTCCATTTAATTTCAAAAGAATAGATGCATAATTAAAGACAAATGTTAACAGCAAAGAAGACAAATTAGTTAAATACAATTAAAATATGTGAAAGCTTCAAATTAGGATAAAAATATATCTCCACAGGTGGAGAGAAACAAAATAGTACAAATATACTCTTCAGGTGCATTTTATCCATGTTTTTCAATCGTGAGCTCTGTTCATAATTTACAGGTAAACTGTAAACTATAATTACCTCTGGAAAATTTCCTTGAGCATCAAATACAGTGGCTCTGTTATATCAACAGCTTATGAGCACAATTCAGACTAAATGCTTATTTTAAAAAGGCTTTAAATCTTAAATCTCATTTAAAGATGTTTGCCCTCCTAGCATGAGATCTAGTTGTCCACATACAAAACACAAACATTTTTGGTTCATTAGACATTAATTTTATTCCTTAAAACAGTTTACTTTAAAAAATTGTATTTTAGGGGCTGGCACTGTGGCATACTAGGCTAAGCTTCCGCCTGTGGTGCCCATATCCCATATGGGCGCCAGTTCGTGTCCTGACTGTTCCTCTTCCGATCCAGCTCTCTGCTTATGGCCTGGGAAAGCAGCAAAAGATGGCTCCTGACTGGCTCATCTCTGGCCACTGTAGCCATTTGAAGAGTGACCTTTCTGTCTCTCTGTCTGCAACCCTAACTCTCAAATAAATAAATCATTTTAAAAATCGTTTCCTTTTTTTTTTTTTCCGTCAGGCAGAGTTAGACAGTGAGAGAGAGAGACAGAGAAAGAGTTAAAGACAGTGAGAGAGAGACAGAGAGAAAGGTCTTCCTTCCGTTGGCTCACTACCCTAATGGCCACTACGGCCGGCGCTGTACCAATCTGAAGCCAGGAGCCAGGTACTTCCTCCCAGTCTCCCATGCGGGAGCAGGGGCCCAAGCACTTGGGCCATCCTCCACTGCCCTCCCGGGCCATAGCAAATAGCTGGACTGGAAGAGAAGCAACCAGGACTAGTAGCCAGTGCCCCAACCGGGACTAGAACCCGGGGTGCCGGCACCACAGGCAGAGGATTAGCCAAGCGAGCCACGGTGCCGGCAAAAATTATATCTTAACAGGGGCTAGCGCTGTGGCAGAGTGGGTAGAGTTGCTGCCTGCAGTGCTGGCATTCCATATAGGTACCAGTTCAAGTCCCAGCTGCTCCACTTCTGATCCAGCTCTGCTACGGCCTAGTTTTGAAAGCAGTAGAAGATGGCCCAAGTCTTTGTGTCCCTGTACCGCGTGGGAGACCTGGAAAAAGCTCCTGGCTCCTGACTTCAGATTGGCACAGCCCTGGCCATTGCGACCATCTGGGGAATGAACCAGTGTAACTGTGTAACTGTGACTTTCAAGGAAAATAAGTAAGTCTTTAAAAAAAATTTATATTTTAAAGGCAGAGAGACAGATCTTTGATCCACTGATTCACTCCCCAAGTAGTCAAATATCTGGGGCTGGGCCAAGCCAAAACCTGGAGCATGGAATTCAATCTGGGTTGTTAATGTAGAGAGCAAGAACCCAATGACTTGAGCCATCACCTACTTCCTTCCAGGTGTGCACAAGCAGGAAGCTGGAATTTGGAAGCACACCTGGAACTCAAACCCAGGCACTCCAATATGAGATGTGGGCAAATGAATGTCCCCACACCATTTGTAAAGGGCCACTGGGAAGGAAAATTCAAAAACATACAAGTAGACACTACATAGTAGTTAAGATATCGTCTGAGAAGCTGGCATCCCACACTGGAATTCACAGAATCCTAGGCTCCTGACTCCAGCTTTCTGCTAATGCACATCCTGAGAGGCAGCAGTGATAACTCAAGTAGCTGGGTCTCTGCCAACCATGTGAGAGACCAAGATTGAGTTCCAGGATCCTGGCTTCAGCCCGGCCCAGGGATGGCTGGTGCAAGTATTTGGGTAGTACAGATGGGAGATCTCCCTCTGTCTCTCTGCCTTTCAAAAGCTAGCTAGCATGAGGAAAAAACTGAAATTGAAAATTGCAAAATATGAATTACTTCAAAAAGTCTGTGAAAAACAGAATTAAAAGGTGAGTTTATTTTGGTATGAAAAACTCTGAAATCTATGCATGAACTTTCTGAAACCATCCCAGGGCCTGCAGGTGAAGCCACTGCCTGTAATGCTAGTATCCCATACAAGTGCTGGTTCAAACCCCAGCTGCTCTGCTTCTGATCCAGCTCCCGGCTAACGGGTCTGGAGAAGCAGTGGATGCTAACTGAAGTGCTTTCGTCCTTCCCCCTAACTGGAGACTCTGATGGAATTCCAGGCTTCTGACTCAGCTCTAGCTGCTGTGGCCATCTGGGGAGTGGATTGGTAAATGGAAGATCTCTCTCTGACTGTTTCTTCCTCTGACGCTGCCTTTAAAGTAAATTACATATTAAAAAAAAAAAAAAGAAAGAAACCATCCCAATATACATGGATTCAGAAAATTTATGTTCCAAAATTAACTTCTATTTTAATTTGAAGTACTCTCTAGAGTGCCTTGCACGATCTAAGTATAAACATTGTTATATATGCTTAAACATATTACCAAATCCAATGTGAATTTAAAAAATTCTGATTAAAAAGTTCCAAAATAGCAAGGGGGAATTTAGCCTAGCAATTAAGATACCCAACTCTCTTATCAGAGCACTTGAATAAAACGCCCAGCTCTGGCTCCTGACTGCAGCATTCCACCAGTGCAAACTATGAGAGGCTGTGGTGGTATCTTAGGCATCTGAGAAGACCTGGATCAGAGTTCTCAGATCCTGGCTCCAGCCCCAGCCCCAACTTGGCCTTAGTGATAGGCCAGTAAATGGGAGCTTTGTCTCTCTCTTCCAAATGAAAAAAAAATTTTTTTGACAGGCAGAGTAGACAGTGAGACAGACAGAGAGAGAGAGAGAAAGGTCTTCCTTTGCCGTTGGTTCACCCTCCAATGGCTACCGCGGCGGGTGCGCTGCAGCCGGCGCACCGCGCTGATCCGATGGCAGGAGCCAGGTGCTTCTCCTGGTCTCCCATGGGGTGCAGGGCTCAAGTACTTGGGCCATCCTCCACTGCACTCCCTGGCCACAGCAGAGAGCTGGCCTGGAAGAGGGACAACCAGGACAGAATCCAGCGCCCCGACCGGGACTAGAACCCGGTGTGCCGGCGCCGCAAGGCGGAGGATTAGCCTAGTGAGCCACGGAGCCGGCTGAAAATTTGTTTTTAAAGATTTTTTTTTACTTATTTGAGAGGCAGAGTTACAGTGAGAGGGAGAGACAGAGAGAAAGGTCTTCCTTCCGTTGGTTCACTCCCCAAATGGCCACAACGGCTGGAGCTGTGCCGATCCAAATCCATGAGCCAGGCACTTCTTCCTGGGTCTCCCACTTGGTGCAGCGGCCAAAGCACTTGGGTCATCTTCTACTGCTTTCCCAGGCCATAGCAGAGAGCTGGATTGGAAGAGGACTAGAACCGGTGCCCATGTGGGATGCCAGTACTGCAGGGAGAGGATTAACCTACTGCGCCATGGGGCCGGCCCCAATAAAATCTCAAGAAGATGAAGAAGAGAGCTCTTTCGGGTCCTTGGTTCCAAGATGACAAAGAAAAGAACAACGGCCATGCTATAAAGGGCTGTGACCACATGCAGCCTATTCCCTGCAGTAACTGCACTTGCTGTATGCCCAAGGCCAAGGCCATTAAGAAGTTCGTCATTCGCAACATAGTGGAGGCCGCAGCCGTCAGGAACACCTCTAAGGTGAGTGTTTCAGATGCCTACATGCTTCTCAAGCTGTATGTGAAGCTACATTATTGTGTGAGTTGTGCCATTCACAGCAAGGTGGTCAGCAATCAGTCTTGTGAGGCCTGCAAGGAATGGACACCACCACCCTGATTTAGCCCTGCCAGTGCTGCCCCTCAGCCTCCATCAAAGCCCATGTAAGGAGTGCAATCTTTAAGGGCTGAAGAAAAATTATTCTCTGGAAAAATAAAGTGGAAATTTATGCTTAAAAAAAAAAAAAAAGAAGAAAAGAAGATCCAAAATGCTGCAGTAAATTCATCTCCCAGAATATAAGATTACTGGACACAGATGACACTACTACTTTGTATTTACTTCTACTCTTATTCCTAATAAAGAAACTGGAGACTATAATAATAGAAAGTAAGAGTATAAAGAAAAACAAAGTATGTCTTTTAAGTCCCCATGCACAGAATTTACTTCAAACCATTTCACTGTATAAATTTATGTATCTATTTTCATCATGGAAAATTTAAAAGTGCTATAAATATAAATATGGGACATACTTTGGAACCATGAAAAGGAGTTAGACAAGACATTGAGGGTATGTTAAATCCTTCAAAGATTTAAAATATACCCACTAATTTTTACAATTATTTTCTATAATTTCACTTGACTATGTGAGCAGTACTGCCAAAACACTTATTTTGCTGACATACCATCTAGTAATGCAAACAAACAGAACTCACTTGCATATTTAAACTGAAACAACAACTTTTTTTGTTTCTATATGAGATACAATACACTTGGCACATAATTTGTTTTAAAATTTTAAAACAAAATATTTTAAGTCTTATAAACCATGAGAACCCTAATTACAGTTGTATATGCCAACATTCTCTTTTACATGCTATGCCAATATTCTTTATATACTAAAGAAACTATCAAAATAATTCTTAAAACAAATAAAATAATTGATATAATTTAATATCTAAAAGGTATCAGGAACAGGTGTTAGTAAGAGTCCAATAAGACCCTCAAGTTCATTAACTAACTTCGGTGCCATTTTACTGTCTAGTGATTTTTAAAAATCAAGGCAAGTGCTTCACTGTACTTAACTCTTTGGTCCCATGTTCAAGTCAGACGCTGAACAACATTATCCTAAACTGTTTAACACAGCATCCAAGCTTCTAGATATAAGCAACTGAGAGCAACCCACTGAGCACTCAGCAGGCAGATGCTGCAAGTTCTTTCTTGACTTAATTATCAATTTTATCAACCTGGATTTATGGAATCGAATGGTATGTTCTATTTTGGTACAAACAATTTTAAAAGCCATGTGTATTCTCATAATACTTCTCTTTTTGAGAAGTTTTTGAAGACCTCTCCTTTGCAGGGATTTCAGAACAATTTTTGTACAAAGACAACTTTATCTTTTAATTCCAAAAGTACCCTAGTGTTACATAATTCACTCATTTAATCTGTAAAATCCAGTAGTTTTTACTCAAAACTGTGAGTCATTATCATAAAAATCCAAGTTTAGAACATTTTAACACCCCAAAAGGAAATTCTGTGGTGATTAATACTCAAATCTCCATTCCTCTACGGGCTCCCAACCTTAGGAAACTACTTAATACCTTGTTTTGTCTCTACAGATGTCTATCTTGGGCATTCTATGCAGATAAAATCATGTTTTTTGGGGGACTGTCTTCTTTCTCCTACAACGTCTGCAAGATTCTTCCACGTTGTTACATATGTAATATCTTCCTTTTATTGTCAAAAAACATTCCACCGTACAGATATATCACATTTCATTTGTCCACTTGTCAGCTGATGAATATTTGGGCTGTTTCCACTTTGGGATATTATATGAACACTGTTGTTAATGTTTGTACACAAGTTGTTGTGTTGATGCATGTTTCCATTTCCCTTATATATACTTCTAAGACTAGAATTTCTGAGTCATATTTTAACTATGTTTAACATTTTGAGTAGGCATCAAACCATTTTCCAAAGCAGCTGCATCATTTTCCCAACAGCAATGTATGAGGGTATTGTAGATTTATCTGCAAATTCATAATCGTTTGCCATTTTTTTTAACTTTTATTTAATGAATATAAATTTCCAAAGTACAGCTTATGGATTACAATGGCTTCCCCCCCATAATGTCCCTCCCACCCGCAACCCTCCCCTTTCCCACTCCCTCTCCCCTTCCATTCACATCAAGATTCATTTTCAATTCTCTTTATATACAGAAGATCAGTTTAGCATACATTAAGTAAAGATTCCAACAGTTTGCTCCCACACAGACACATAAAGTGAAAAATACTGTTTGAGTACTAGTTATAGCATTAATTCACACGTTGAACAACACATTAAGGACAGAGATCCTACATGAGGAGTAAGTGCACAGTGACTCCTGTTGTTGACTTAACAAATTGACACTCTAGTTTATGGCATCAGTAATCACCCTAGGCTCTTGTCATGAGCTGCCAAGGCTATGGAAGCCCCCTGAGTTCACTGACTCTGATAATTTTTAGACAAGGCCATGGTCAAAGTGGAAGTTCTCTCCTCCCTTCAGAGAAAGGTACCTCCTTCTTTGATGACCCGTTCTTTCCACTGGGATCTCACTCGCGGAGATCTTTCATTTAGGTTTTATTTTCCCCCAGTGTGTCTTGGCTTTCCATGCCTGAAATACTCTCATGGGCTTTTCAGCCAGATCCGCATGAATTAAGGGCTGATTCTGAGGCCAGAGTGCTGTTTAGGACATCTGCCATTCTATGGGTCTGCTGTGTATCTCACTTCCCATGTTGGATCGTTCTCTCCCTTTTTGATTCTATCAGCTAGTATTTGCAGACACTATTCTTGTTTATGTGATTCCTTTGGTTCTTAGTCCTATCATTATGATCAATTGTGAACAGAAATTGATCACTGGGACTAGTGAGATGGCATTGGTACATGCCACCTTGATGGGATTGAATTGGAATCCCCTGGTATGTTTCTACTCTACCATTTGAGGTAAGTCAGCTTGAGCATGTCCCGAATTGCACATCTCTTCCCTCTCTTATTCCCACTCTTATATTTAACAGTGATCACTTTTCAGTTAAGTTTCAGCACTTAAGAAGAATTGTGTATTGATTACAGTATTCAACCAAAAGTATTAAGTAGAACAAACAAAAAAAATACTAAGAGGGATAACATATTAAGTTGCTCATCAACAGTCAGGGTGAGGGCTGATCAAGTCACCGTTTCTCATAGTGTTCATTTCACTTTAACAGGTTTCCTTCTTGGTGCTCAGTTAGTTGTCACCTATCAAGGAGAACAAGTGGTATTTGTCCCTTTGGGATTGGCTTATTTCACTCAGCATAATGTTTTCCAAATTCCTAACAGGGATCACTTTTCAGTTAAAATTTAAACACCTAAGAATAATTGTGTGTTAATTACAGAGTTCAACAAATGGTACTAGAACAAAAAAATACTAAAATGGATAAAGTATTACATTGTACATCAACCGTCAGGACAAGAGCTGATCAAGTCACTGTTTCTCATAGTGTCCATTTCACTTCAACAAGTTTCCCCTTTGGTGCTCAGTTAGTTGCCGCCGATCAGGGAGAACATATGATATTTGTCCCTTTGGGACTGGCCATTTTTAAATCACAATCACCCTAATAAGAAATAGTACCTCATGGTTTAAATCTGTATTTTCCTAATACATAACAATGTTGAAAATCAGTGGTTATTGGCCAGCTGAATATCTTCTTTGCAGAAATGTTCTACAAGTCTTTTGCTCAGAGCTGGCGCTGTGGCATAGCAGGTAAAGCTGTCGCCTGCAGTGCTGGCTTCAGGTTAGAGTCTTAGCCAGTCCAATTCCAATCCAGCTCTCTGCTATGGCCTGGGAAATCAGTACAAGATGGCCCAAGTCCTTGAGCCCCTGTACCCATGTGGGAGACCTGGAGGAAGCTCCTGGCTTCAGATCAGCATAGCTCTGGCCATTGCAGCCATCTGGAGAATGAACCATTGGATGAAGACACCTCTCTCTGCCTCTGCCTCTCTGTAACTCTGCCTTTTAAATAAATATAAAGAAATCTTTAAAAAAAAAAAGTCTTTGCTCATTTTTTAAATTGGACTATTTACTTTTTTATTGCTGACCTGTAAGAATTCTTAATATATTCTTATACATGTTCATTGTTTGATACATAATTTGCAAATATTTTCCTCCTTTCTGCTTCTTTCCTTATCATGTCACTGATGGCACTGACACTATTAGCACACAAGTTATTCATTCGATTGAATTCTAATTCATCTTTTTCTTTTGTCACTTATGCTTTTGGCTCTTGGCCAGCTCAAGTTCATGAAGATTTACATCATGACTTCTTTTAAGAGCTGAGTTTTAGGACTTAGGCTTACTTTTAAGTCTATGATAAATATCAAGTTAATTTTTGCAAATGGCATACAGAAGGGGATCCAAATTCATGCTTTTCAGTGTGGATACCCAGCTGTACCCATGCACTTTCTGTTGAAAAGATGGTTCGTTTCCCTACAGAACTGTTTTGGACCCTTGTCAAAAAAAAAAAAAAAAAAAATCACAGCCAAAAATTTTATTTCTGGACAGTCAATTTTATTCCACTGATTTATATAGCTGTCTTTATGTGAGTATCATCCTCTTTTGATCACTTCAGTTTTATAGTTAACTTTAGAAACAGGAAGTGTCAATTCTTCCAGTTTGTTCTTTTACAAGATTGTTTAGACTACACAGGGTACCTTGAATTTTCTATGAATTTTAGGAACCACTTTATTCATTTCTGCAAAGACAACAGCTGAGATTTTGACAGAGAATGCACAAACTGCGTAACAATTTAGGGAATAATGTCATCTTAATATTGTCTTTTCTCCCATGAACATGGACAGTCATTTCACTAATTTATTTTCAACAATATTTTATAAGTTACACAGTACCAGTCTCATATTCTGCTAAATTCATCTGAGATAAATTCCACATGACAGTGGTGTTTAATACCTTTCATATGTTGCCAGATTTTGTGTTAATATCTTACTAAAGTTTTTGTTTTTAAGATTTATTTATTTATAAGAGTTACACAGAGGAGAGGAGAGGCAGAGAGAAAGAGAGAAAGAGAAAGAGGAGGTCTTCCATCCGC